GAGAATGTTTCTGAGTGTTCTTATTATAGTGTCTTCTGGGGTAATAATACATTGTAGCTGTGTAAGTTTTCACTAACCTGTATCAGCTGTTGGTATAGATCCAGTGTCGTGTTTCCTCGTCGCTGGGCCCAGCTCGTCTGAAATAGTCTTCCTTCGAGCCTCTTGACACGGGAAAACTTCTCGTGAGTTGTCACCGGTTGAATATAAACAACTCACGGGCTGAATGTAATGTTTGCCACATTGAATTTTGGAAGGCCAAACCGTGGCCTACCGTGCCCACCTCCCAGTGCCGCGCACGATATAGCTTTTATCATGCACGGAGTTGATCAAGTTTATAAGTCCAACCGGCTCGGTGGTCGGGGAATCCGACCTGAGCGTATGGCTGACGGTGTGTTGTCTATTGCCTTGACATGGGCCGCTTTAAGGCGATCAATTAAAACCTTGTCATGCTTGCCATTAATGTCTAGAACAAAATATTTGGGGTATGTTTTGATAATTTTATTCGGTCCATCCTATGGTCTTTGTAGAGGTCTGCGAACTGAATCATGTCTGACGTACACAAAACCTGTAGCTTCCAATTTTTTTTGGAATGTATCCAGCCCTTGTACCATGACAGTCTGTCGGGGTTGATTGAGCTTTGCGCATTGTTTCTTGCAGATTCCCCAGAAACGCTGATTCTGGCTGAAGAGATCGAATGTCTTCTGTTATGAAAAATTCTCCTTGAAGCCTCAGTGTGGTTCCGTAAACCAGTTTGGCTGGTGAGCAGTCAGGTTCAAGGCGCCAGGCTGATCTAATGCCAAGTAGTGTGATGGGTAAAGAGTTATACCACTTGTTACCTGTCAATCTGGCTTTCAAGGATGCTTTCAGCTGTCGATGAAATCGTTCAACTAGGCCATTGACCTGCGGGTGGTATGAGGTTGTGGTCTGTCGGGATATTTCCAATAATTTGTTGAAATTCTCCCATAAAGCTGAAGTAAATTGTGGTCCGCGATCGGAGGTAATGTCTTCGGGAACTCCAAACCGTGCGACCCAATGATGTAAGAGAGCAGAGGCACATGTTGTGGCTTGTGCATCTGGAAGGGGAATAGCTTCCGGCCATCTAGTGAAGCGGTCGATCACTGTAAAGATGTATGGCATACCTTGGTTTAGTGGTAATGGTCCTACCAGGTCAACATGAATACTTCTAAACCTTGCAGAAGGTATGTCTCTTGGCACTAGTGGAGCCTGAGTGTGGCGATTAATTTTTTAGGCTTGACAAGAATGACATTCCTTGCACCACTGGCGGATTTGGCGCTTCATACCATGTCAGACAAATCGCTGAGTTATGGCCTTTTGTGTTGGTTTCACTCCAGCATGTGACAAGTTGTGGATATTGTCGAAAACGTGCCGAGTCCATGAGGATGGACCAACTGGTCTCGCTGTCCCTGTAGATACATCGCACAAAATGTGTTCTCCCTTGCGGTAAATGTAGCTGAACTCCAGGCCTGTGTTGTCCTGCAAGTAGGAATCCATTTCTCCCGATTCAACCTGTGCCTTCGCTAACTGATGGTAGTTGTCTATAGCTGCTTGCTCTGGCCGTGTTGGCTGTGTAGCGGACACCTGATTGATTCAGGACAGGGCATCTACTACCTCATTGAACTTCCTTTGATGTGACAGATGCTAGTGGTAAACTCAGCAATGTAAGACAACTGACGCACCTGCCGAGGTGATCGATCTGTGTGAGATCCGATGGCTGATGTGAGTGGTTTGTAGTCAGTGTACAGAGTGAAATTCCGACCTTCTAGAAAATGCCTGAAATGCTTGATGGCACTGAAAGCGGCCAAGAGTTCGCTGTCAAAGGCACTGTATTTTTTTCTGTTTCTGAAAGTTTTCTTGAGAAGAATGCAAGTGGTACCCACAGTCTCCCTATGCGCTGTTCAAGTTGTGCTCCGACCGCATTGTTGGATGCATCCACTGTTACACTGATTGGTGCACCTGGATTTGGGTGGTGTAACAAAACTGCTGCTCCCAAAATTTCTTTGCACTTAATAAATGCTTCCTGACAGGCGTCATCCCAGGCGATCTTCTGTCCTTTTCCATTTGATTGCCTGTACAATGGGTCCAGGACAGCAGCTATGTTGGGCAGAAAACGGTGGTAGTAGTTTATCATTCCAAAGAAGCGTTGAAGAGCACTTCGATCTCTGGGCGCAAGTGCGTACAGTAGGTCTTTGATCCGATCGGGAAGCGGTTGAACTCCTTGGGATGTGACTCTGTGACCTGGAAAATCTAGGGAATCTGTGCCAAAAACACATTTTGATTTGTTGATGACGAGGCCGTTTGCTCGAAGTACATCAAATATTTGTTTGAGATGAGCAAAATGTTCATCACTGGATTTGCTTGCAACCAGGAAATCGTCTATGTAGACAAAAGCAAATGGGATATCTTGGAGCACGCCGTCCATGAGGCGTTGAAATGACTGTGCTGCATTTTTTAAGGCCAAAAGGCATTCGAACGAATTCCCAGAGTCCAAAAGGAGTTACTATGGCGGTTTTGGAAATTGAATCCTCGGCCATGGGTATTTGATGATAGCCCCTGATGAGATCAACTTTGGAGAAAGTTGTGCAGCCAGAGAGGTTGTTGTTGAAGTCATGAATATGGGGCAGAGGATATCGGTCATCTTGAGTTTTACTGTTCAGGGAGCGATAGTCTCCACAAGGTCTTCACG